TCAGACTAGTCATGCACGACCTTTTTAATGAGAAGTTGTTAAAGTCTTAGCTCCGCTCTTGTTTAAAAGGCCTTACCACCGGAAACAGAAATCCGTGAGGTAAAGGTGAAGTGTGACATTTTTAGAGTCAACTTCTTCTAACCCCTTCCTCCCTGTTTTAGAAGACAACAACAGTGCAGATATGCTAGTTGTCCGAGGGGTTAACACCTTACTGCTGTCACATCCTCTTTTATAGTCAGCAGTACGACTTCGCTCTCAGACATTGAGTAGCTGCTTTTAGTCTCACTGTTCTCTAATCGACCTGCCTGGCATGATAGAATGTACAGGAACATATGTTCCAGCCCAGTATATCCCGTCATGGGTAACAGCTACGGAAATTCCAAATGATTTATCTGGTTGCCTGTGTTGTCGTTGTTGTTATTGCGACGATCAACTTAATTCAAATATCGATCCATATTAATTCATCCTACCAGTTGATTCCTTTAAAATATGAAAATTCTTAAACAGTTCTATGCATATATATATATATATATATATGTGTATGCATGTCTCTCAATCAGTAGTAGCATTCACAACACACATGCACACAATTAAAATTAGGAATACCAGTTACTAATGACAACTGGAGGGGAAAAAAATCAACAACAGCAAAAGTAAAGCAATGTACTTCCTACTCCTATTTCTTTCATCAATAATTATTACCTTATTTTTTGGGAAAAAACTACACCAAAAAGGTAGTTCAGGGAAAAAATCCTTTACTTATTTCATGGTTACCTAGGTATATATATATATATACCTATTAGGAAAGTTTTTCCCACCGTTCATTCATTCATTCTGGCATTTCCCTTCTCCTATCATTATTCCCTCCCTTATTTATTCATTTCTCTCATATCTATTCTATATGTATCTATATTTTTAATTAAATGAAAATATATTACTTTTTTTCTCAGTTCATAAGTAGTATCTGTAGTTGTTTTTGTCTCATTTCTATTGATTTGTGTAAAAACCTGATCATGATTTAAGTTATGAGTTAAAGACCGGGGGGAAGGTTTGTGTCCTTAAGGGGGGATACTTTTAGTTGTATATTACTTACTTACATACTTACTCCTGTTATCCACAGTGGAGCATAATAGGCTGACGACCAGCATTCTTCAACTTATTCTGTCCTGGTGTGGTGCGCGCTACTTATAAGTAGTAGGAAATGACGCGAGTGTAAACGTAATGTCTGACAGCAGGAGATGGCGGAAGATCAAGAAAGGGAGGAAGAGTCGGAACACAATGGAATTTGTATGAAACGCATGAATAGTGAGTGAAATGTCAGACAATGGATTGATGATGGATTGGATTGAAGATTTGGAAATTAACGGTTACGATATGGTTTTCCTATTTTACTGAGTAACTCTGTAATTTTTGTTAAATACAATTCGATTGCCCTCACCTGTGTTCTCCTTCACTACACTGGGACTTCTTTTCTAGTTCTGTCCAATTTTTGTTCATTCTTCTCATATCTGTCTCCATTTCTGGGCGTAATGCGTTCCTTGGCTCTCCTCTTTTCTGTTGGTCTTGAGGATCCCAGGTGAGGACTTGTCTTGTGACGCAGTTGGGTGCCTTCCTAAATGTATGTCCTATCCACTCGCAATAATTCTTCCTGATTTCCTCCTCCTCAGGAATATGGTTTGTTCTTTCCCACAGTAGGTTATTACTGATGTTGTCTGGCCAAAGCATCCGAAGTATTTTGCGTAGACAACTGTAGGCACATGTGATTTATTCTATGATACGGTTCGTAAGTTGAAATGGTTGTGATACGTGTTATGTATGCCCAACCACCGACTGCCTCGACAACGGATGTTTTGTGGTGTCGGAATAGGTTAGAAGGAGGCTAGAGGCGACCGGACCAAAATGTGGTCTCAGTCTATGAAGTCTTTAACGATTGAACTGAGTCATGTTGATAGATGTAGACTACCTGGTTGAGGTGCGCGGGACGAAAGTCACCATTGGTTAGAGACCTTGAACGACATGGCTCAAAGTCGTTTGCAATGGTGCAAGTGCATCCATTCGTTGTGCTCTCTCAAATCCTAATCTTCTGGATTCGTCAGCACCTCTACCTTTTTCTTTCTAACCTTATCTCAATGTATTATACTTCTTGAATAATATCTTCAAACCCCAGTCTTCTTCATTACCATTAATACCTCTACTATCTCTACTATCACTATGGGATTTGATTTGACATTTGCGTCTCTGTGCTAATGTTGTATGGTAACCTGAACTGATGTACATACGTACGAAGTTCTACGTTGCAACTGACTGAATTTGATTTGTAATTAGTACAACTTATCAGTCAGTCATCTATAACGTAGAACTGCGTACGCACGTACGTAGATCAGTTAAAGTTGCCGCAGCACATGAATATAGATACATTTGTCAATTTAAATCCCATAGTAGTAGAGGTAGTACAAGAATTATCGGTAATGGCGAACATTGAGGTTCAAAGATATTATTGAAGGACTATAACCCAGTGAAAAAAAAGGAAGATAAAGGTGATGAGAAATTCAGACAGACAGGCAGACAGATACAACACAGAACTTCCCACGTAAGTACATCAATTCAGGTTGGCATACCGCATTAGCATATAGACGCAGCTGTCAGTCCAAATCACATAGTGGTAGCAATAGTAGAAGTATTAGCAGTAATGGAGGAGATTAGGGAGCGAAGATTAGAATTTGAGGAAGCACAAAGAATGAATGCACTTGAGCCATTGCACATGATTTTGAGCCATATCATTCAAGATATCTAACCATTGGTTATGATTGTCTCGCGGACTTCAACCACGTAGCCTACACCTACTAGCACAATTCAGTCCAGTTTTCAATGACTTCATGAATTTATGCCATGTTTTGTTCTGGCTACCCCCTAACATTCTTCCGGTCTACCCCTAATACACCAGACGTCATCGCTTGTCGAGGCAGTCGATCGTCATACAACTTAGGTTTAGATCATATTGTATTTGTCTTCTCTGGTTGTTTTTCATTCAATTTTCATAGTATGAAAAATAGAGTGATCAAGTTGATTTGTGAACGATATTCATTCAAAAAGATTTCAAAATGGTTTCTAAATGGTTTTTCTGAAAGATATTTTTGATATATGATAGAATAATCTATAAGTAGTTTAGTCAGTCTTAAGGTTCTGGATTCGATTCCTACGCACAAGGTCATTAGATGCACACTTCCGATGAGTACTATACTCCAACATCATTAGAAACCTGGAAGCACTGGATGGCTGTTTCATCCTAGTTTGAGATTCATCAGTGACAGTGCACATCTTTAACTTCCGCTACTTGCATGATTTGAACCCAGGACCTCTAGTCTTGCGCGCTGATACTTAACCTTTGAACCATTGAGCTAGCGGATATTCAACGCTGTTAATGTCGAATTTTAATCAATCCACGGTCTTAAACAACTTCATCTACTATCTTCAGTGAGCGCTACTTCACTAGTCATGACTTCTCACTAGAACTCGGAAAATCTTCTTCTTCATGGAACTAGTCACTAACTAGTGAACACATGATAATTAGGATTATATATAATGTTATGGAGATTGTTGAGTCACTTCGTTGAAATCATGAATCAGTCATTGTTAGACCACTATTATTAGAAACCTATGAGTAGCAGGAGTTGTAGATAAGTCATTGCATACCAGAATGAAATGCCTATCTCCACTGCTTGTTCCAAGTTTCTTTCTAATGGTAGTAACGATCTAATGCTGATCAATTCATGTTTTCAGTAAAGCAGTTGAACAATCTCTCCACACTGATACTGTAGTGAACGAGAACACAGGTGAGGGCAACCGAATTGTATTTAACGAAAATTACAGAGTTACTCAGTAAAATAGGAAAAACATATCGTAAACAGTTAATTTGCAAATCTTCAATCCAATTCATCAATCCATTGTCAGACATTTCACTTATTCATGCGCTTCATACACATTCCATTGTGTTCTAACTCTTCCTTTCTTGTTGATCTTCCCCCATCTTCTGCTGCCAGACATTACGTTTACACTAGCGTCATATACTACTTATAAGTAGCCGTGGAGATAAGAGAGGTACTAAGGGGTGTAGGAAGGATTTGATTTTGACCGATTTGGTCTCTCGTGCTGTTACGGGTATGAGGGCGGTTATCACTTCCTGGCTGCCCACACCGTGGAAGGTCGTTTCTTGAGGAACCTGAAAAGGAAGATAGATTAGTGTTGGTCTTAGAGACCTGGTTGCGTGACCGCAGAGTCCAAGGTACAACTGGTTGAGGCCGGTGACGCACGGCCTTTTTATGAAAGGTTTTTTGAGTATTAGCTCCGCTCTTGAAAGCCCTTAGTGAGCAGCCCTTGCCACCGGAGACGGAAATCCGTGAGTTAGGGTGAGTTGTGACATTTTTAGGGTTGACCTTTTCTAACGCCTTCCTCCCTTGTGAGAAGGCAGCATCGCTGCAGATGCTGGTTGTCCGAGGGAAACACCTTACTGCTGTTATATACCTCTCTGCAGTCAGCAGTACGACTTCGACCTCATAACTTGGGTAGCTGCTTTTAGCCTCATCGTTCTCCAATCGACCTGCCTGGCATGGTAGAACCTTGAGGAACATATGTTCCAGCCAATATAGCTCGGTTGGGTGATCACGATAGGCAAGCCCCACCACCACGTCTCTTTTAATCATACTTCTTGAATAATAATATCTTCTAATACTAACCTCTCCGATTACTTCTAATACCTTTACCACCTACCTCTTCTACTAATATTGGATTTGAATTGACAATTACATCTCTGTGCTAGTAATGTGGTATGGCGACAAAAAACTGATGTACATACGTACGAAGTTCTACGTTGCGACTGACTGACTTATAAGTAGCGCGCACCACAACGATATTTCTAATGTATACTGACCATTGAACAACTGATTATTATTATTACCATTAATTGAAAAAAATTTTCTTTTCAGTGTATAAAATATGAAACAATGTTATCAAATATGCAAGCCAAATTAACATGTATCATGGAAGAACGTGATTTGTTGGTGAATCGATTAAACGAATTAACTGTGACCAGTAGTAATAATAATAATAATCATAATAATATTCCATCACTTTCCAATACAACAACAACGTCACAACCATCAACTGTAACCATAACAGAAGATCTTTCATCATTGTCTATGACAGCACAGACGTCGACGACAACAACAGCGGCAGCAACAGTAGCTTCCTCGATATCACGTCCTATTATGGGTTTGAATCATCGATCTGTTCAAATGAAATCTAATGGGAATAATAATTTGTCATATTGTTTGCCTACCACCACTCATCATCCACCGATGTCTTCAACTACAACAACCACAACAGAAGTTTTAATGTCAAAACAACAAACAAATGCTGAACAGAATGCTACCGACCAATTACATATTGTAAGTGACATGTTTGTGTGTGTGTGTCTTAGCTGCTCTGATTTTCAATACGCTCTGATCCACATCGTACATTCTCGCCTCCCGACACTCATCATTCATTCCTTGAACACCAACCTTTAGGTGATGTTTGGCTGCATAAAACTTATATGTCAGTGTCTACCTAAGATTGTGTATGAGGTTGCGCAACTTCTTGAATTGATCAAGTTAGACATTAACACCGTTAGATACCGGCTCAGTGGTCCGAGGGTTAGGCCTTCGCGCACAATACCGAAGGTCCTGGGTTCGAATCCTGCGGGGTTCAGGAGTCATATCTGCGCACTGCTGAGGAGTCCCATACCAAGACGCAACAGCCGTCTTACAGTGCTTCCAGGTTCCTCTAATGGTGGTCTAACATTGATTGATTCATGGTTTTGAAAGAATAATTATCGTTTAGAAACTTGATCTGTTTGTTTGAAGTTATTAAAATAGTATTTGACGAAAAAAATTGACATTTTTCATGTTTTCTACATTCCAATGTCTGAAAATTAATTTTTTTTCTAAGGAGAAAAAAAGTCCGTTTGGGTTTTTTATTTTTCCCAATAAATTCGTATCCCTAATCATGTCCACTAACAAAATCGTTTGTCTCTGTTTTAACTACAACAAATCAAACTAGTTCATACAAGAAAAATAGTTTATTCTGTCTTAGATTGTGACAAATAAAATCATGTCCGTTTAAAAATAACATACTGTACAACAATGTGCATAACTCTCTGATGGAATATTACTTACTTACTTACTTACGCCTGTTACCTCCAATGAAGCATAGGCAACCCACCAGTTTTCTTCAGTCAACTCTGTCCTGAGCTCCTCTTTCCAGTTCTGTCCAATTTTTGTTGATTTCTCCCATATTTTTCTCTATTTCTCGGCGTAATGTGTTCCTTGGACTTCCTCTTTTCATTTTGCCTTGAGGGTTCCCATGTGAGGGCTTGTCTTGTGATGCAGTTAGGTGCTTTCCACAGTGTGTGTCCTATCCACTTCCACCGCTTATTCCTGATTTCCTCGTTTTTCACTGGAATCTGGTTTGTTCTCTCCCACAGTAGGTTGTTGCTGATGGTGTCTGGCCAACGAATCCGAATTATTCTGCGTAGACAACTGTTAATGAACACTTGTATCTTCTGGATGATGGCTTTGGTAGTTCTCCAAGTTTCTGCTCCATACAGTAGAACTGTCTCGACATTTGCATTGAAAATCCTGCTTTTGGTGTTGATTGTTATTTGTTTGAAATTCCAGATATTTTTCAACTGTAGAAATGCAGCCCTTGCTTTACCAATCCACGCCTTCACATCTGCATCGGGTCCACCTTTCCCGTCATGCAATATAGTACAATGTGCTCACTAACGACTACTAGCTTTGTGAGGAAATTCTCGGAGTTCTAGTGAGAAGACGTGACCGGTAGATTGCAATTCTGTCAGGTGTAAGCTGTAGTAATTATCAAAGATAAATGGATGAGGTTGCTTAAAATCTCTAGATTGATCAGAGTTATTAGACATTACCAGCACCGTTGAATACCGGCCGACTCAGTGGTTTACAGGTTAGGCGTTCGCATGCAAGACTGAAGGTATTTGGTTTGAATCATGTGAGTAGCAGGAGTCGTGGATGGGCACTGTTGATGATGAGTAGTCCTATACCAGGACAAAACGGCCTTCCAGTGCTTTTCTAATTGTTATGCTCGTCAGTCGATATGCTCGAAACTATTACGAGTTGACCTTAGTCCGTAAACGAGAGCGAAGACTAATGATCTGATCTAAGGCTCCACTAAGTAGAGCAAGAAGTTTTGACAAGACGTAAAAAGTGTATTCTACAAGCACGCAGAAAATATGAGGTTTCTTCAAGCATATAAATCGAGTTTATTTATACATCATAGAAATGTTCTTGGGAGAGCCACAAAAATAGCATACTAAAATAATACATCAACCAATAACAGTCAAGGATTTTCCGAGAGGAGAAATATAATCTCAAGGTCAACTGATCAGCTCATGCGTGAAACCTTAAAATCCAAATTTAACACCTTAATCAAGTGAGTTCTGTGGGAACTAACGTTCCCAACAGTGAAGTTGCGAAAATTCCTCAGATTGATTAAAGTTATACATTAACACAGTTGTGTGCCGGCCAGTTCAATGGTTCAGAAGTTAGGCGTTCACCCGCAAGACCAAAGGTCATGGATTCGATTCTTTTAAGTAGCGATAGTCATGGATGCTCATTGTTGATGATGAAGTAGTAGTCCTATACCAGAACAAACACAGCCATCCAATACTTCTTCCAGTTTTCGTAATAATAGTCTAACATTACGGGGTTGTGAAGATTGTTAAGTTACACATTTTTGAAACCATGTATCGATCAATGTTAGACCACTATTAGAAACCTGGAAGAAGCACTGCACAATGGCCGTTTCTTCCTGGTATGGGACTACTCATCAGTGGCAGTGCGCATCCAGGACTCCTGCACCCTGCAGGATTCGAACCCAGGACCTTCGGTATTATGCGCGAACGCCCTAACCGTTAGTCTAACAATAATTCATTCATAAGTTCGCGGTAAAAATAGAGAGATTCCATTTTCCTTTAACGTATATGAAATTTGTTTATTCCGGCCTATTCTCTCTCTTTTTATTTCATAAATATGCGAGTACTTAACTCCATTATTATCAGTAGTAGTATATTCTTAATTTGTCTGCCTAAACATATGGTTATCTGATTACATTTATCTCAACCTACTGTTAATTATTATTATTATTACTATTATCAACCTTACTATCAGTGGAATTTATTATCGGTTCAAAGACAACATAATTCTATCGAATTCTATATGTGTCTGTGTTTCCTTGAAGAAACACAATGAAAAAGGTTCTCATGTACTTGAATGTACATATGTGTGTGTGCGTGTGTGTGTAATTGGGCTTACCGGCAAAAATGCATTTTTATTTTTGGTACTACTACGTCAATAAATAAATAATTGTTTATTTATTGATAAATAATCCTCGTCGACACCATCGATAACACTCACTGCACAATCTGTGTGTACTTGTGTGTGTGTGTGTGCGTGTGTGTGTGTGTTTGGTGAAGGTTTTTATCTTTTAATAGGAATCAATGAAATGCATTTTTTACTCTCGATTTTTTATTCTTGCGATTGTGGTTGTTTGAGTTGTTTCGTATTGCACGCAATCACGTTATATGTTTGTCACTCTATTGGTCGATATTTATATATATGTGTGTGTTTATCTATCCATCATAGTGTGTGTGATTTGTTTTACATATTGATAGATTAACAGACAGACATAGTGTACACACACACAACACAGACACATGAAGCATCACGATAGTTAGACAAACACATGCAGATTTATTTGTTTGTTCCTTCACGAAAAAGATTCTGTTTTCTCCTTCAGTTATTTATTAATACACTACTTAAACCGCATTTATTTAACTGAAAGAAAAATAAATTTTATAGACATAAAACTGCCCAAAAAAAATAATGTTTACATTTAATCTCTCTCTCTAATGGATTGATGAATGAAAAGTGACGCCGTATACACTTAACTTTAAGTTTAAGCCTCTTGTGTATTTTGTCTGTTTGCTTTAGTTCAAAGGTAAACATACAGTTTATTTGTTTCATACTAGTTAGTTAGTTTGTAGTAATGCAGTAGTGTAGGAGTTACTATTTTGAAAAAGGTGATTGAATCATTATTAGAGATCAATATTAGAAAGAAACCTGGAAGAAGACACAAACAGGTGCAACACAGAACTTCGTACGTAAGTACATCAGTTCAGGTTGCCATACCACATTAGCATAGACACGCAACTGTCAGTTGAAATCCAAGAGTGATAGTGATAGTAGAAGTATTAGCAGTAATGGAGATTAGGGAGCGAAGATATGATTCGAGAAGTATAATTCAGTGCAGTAAATTTAGAAGGAGAAAGGTAGAGATTATGAGGAATTCAGAAGGTGAGAATTTGAGAGAACACAAAGAGTGGATGCGCCTACGCCATTGCAAACAATTCTGAGCTATGTCATTCAAGGTCTCCAACCATTGGTGACTTTCGTCTCGCGGACCCCAACCTGGTAGTCGACACTTAACAATATGACTCAGTCCACTTGTCAGTGACTTCATGGATTTCTGTCATGTTTCGGTTTGGCCACTCCTAACTTTCTTCCAACCTATTCCTACACTACAAAACATAGCTCGTCGCGGAAGAAGAACTGTATTGGCTTTCCGTTTAGCCCTACATAGTATGGGACTACTCATCGGTAGCAGTGCACATTCACGAGTCGTGCAATACTTGCACAGGATTCGAACTCAGGACCTTTTGGTCTTGCATATGCGAATGCTTAATGTCTGGTTTAAATATCGGTTGGTTAGCTTATTTTTTGAAAAAAATTCTTACTGAAAAATTAAGAAATGTACTAATTCAAAGATTAAATAAATTGTTATTAAGTGAGATAAAGTTTATTAAGAGAAGTTGGTTAGTTTTCAACAATAAGCGACTTTACAGTCATCGTTAGACCACCATTAGTAACCTGAAAGCATTGGGAAGCTATTTCGCCCTTGTGTGGGGAATCTTCATTAGTGAGTGCTTAAGGTCACTGCAGGCGGGAACCGAACGCATGACTGTCGGTTTCATGCACGAACGCCTAACTTCTATACCCGTGATTCGGCTCGCATCCACCAGTGTTAATGCCTAACTTTAGTCAATACGAGTTATTGCGCAACCTTGCACAAATTCTTCGGTGGGTAACTACCTTCACTCGATAGGGTTGAACTCTACTGGTCATGACTTCTCTCGAGAATTTCGAGAATTTTCTCACGTAGCTAGTCACTAGTGTGCATATTTTGTGATTTACACTATGGAGTTGTGAAGAATATTAAGTTTCATTAAAATCATGAAATCAGTCGAGTTCATCCCTGTCCACTGTCACCAAAGACAATGGGTGATGTTGTGCAATAACTCGGATTGATTAAAGTGAGA